CTTCCTCTGTGCATTGTCTTGCTACATCAAGTGGTATGGAGGTGAACAGGGAAACGACGTCGAAGGATACCCTTACCTCATCATCGGAGACAGAGATTCCCCTAAGTTTCTGTAGAAACTCCGTAGATTTCTGAATGAAAGTTTCACAATCCTTCGTAAGTGGATGAAGTTGTCGGAATAGCCACTTAGAGATTCTGAAGTTTGGTGCACCGATTAATGATACTATCGGTCGCAGAGGGATTTCCGGCTTGTGAACTTTGGGTAACCCGTAGATCTTCGCGATGTTTGCTTTGGAATGTTTCAGACATTTTGCGGTATCTCCTGACACTAGTTTCCCCCCTGTAAGGCGTTTCAGTACTTTGTCAATGGATGACATTTGCTTCTTGATAGGGTCTGTAGGAAGAGGCTAATATATTGAGCTATCTTTTAATATTCAGAGCATTTTCTGCTTGTAGTCTGATTTGTTCAAGATAGCAGTTGAACCTCCTTTGTCGGCGGGAAGTATGATTATATGTTCATCAATTTACAAATTTTGAAGTGTTTTCTTTTGTTCAGAGGATAGAGATGAAAACTGATTCCGATCCTTTAAGGCATGGACAGCCCTGTTACGGATGGTAAACCGATCATAACCGCTGAGGTCTCCTGTTAATAAGATAGACTCCAAGCTGGCTAGAAAGTCCGAGTAATTAGAATCAGGAGGATTTTATTTCATCCCTTTGGACAACATATTCTCTTCTGTTGCAGTGAGGGCTCTGGAAGATTGGTTCACAACCTTCGCTACGGACTGTTGGTTTATAACAGCTGGTTGGGAAATAGTCTTCCATTTCTAGTCTAGAAATATCTTCTTCTTTCGTCTTTCCAGTTCTGATACGTGGACAATTGTTTCACATACTGATTCAAATAAGTGTAGGGGAAGATTATTGCAACAGACCTGTATACGTTGTTCCTTTGCAGCATGGAAATTTTGCATTCGATAATGGGCATTCGTTATAAATGCTCCAAGCATACTTTTTCCATAACGAGATGCTGTCGGATACCCTAGGGTAGATCTGACTGCAGGCCTCACACGCACAGACTTCGGCAAAATGTTCTGTTTTCGGCACTTGTGAATAAATGATAATTGTTTTCGCGTAAAACTATCACGAATAGCACATTCCTCCCATTGTCTAGCCTCGAGCAAAACTTCGCAATCGCAATTGTTCCGTATAAACTAAGAGGCAGGCATCCCAAGAAATGTAATTTCATAGGAAGGCGTCCTATGGGTAAATAAGTAGGTTTATTTAGTAAATTTTCGACACTGGATCTCCAGGTTGTCGTCAAACTTAAGAGTAATGTGCAAAGAAGAGTTAGCATTTCAAAGTGCTGATACAGTTGAATAGTCATCTGCCTTGGGCGTTAATTGAGATTTAATTTGGAGTTAAAATTTGCGTCACATCGTGATGGATATGATAAGGAGTCGCAATGGCGTAATGGCTGATTGGCAACTGTAATTTGTATCAGTCCGTGGTCAGTCCAGCTAATCCTGTGTGGACACTAATTGCGGCTCATGCTGGTCCATGTTTGTCGGCTGCAGTCACTTCCACCTTTATTTGAGGTGTTTGTCCACTCGAGCTATCTCGATACGCCCGTTGGTGCATGAATCATCGGAGTTCATGTCCTCAAGAGATTTCCGGAGAAAATGTATGCTTCGCCATCGATGCCACATAACAAAATGTGCTCCATTCAAGCGATACACTTTGTTATTCTCCTTTTCATTTAAAGGCTATTGTTATAGTTATGCTTATGTTAAAGGGGGTTTGCCTAAAGCTTGTTTTTGAAGAACTGATAGGCTATCACTACCACCGAGGCGTCAAAAGTGAATTCAAAACACCTGCTGGCCTTTTATCCAGTCAAATAACACCGGCAAACGTTATCAGGGGAAAATCAATGCATCCACTGCCCAGCTTTCATTCGGCGCAAACGTGCAACAGTAAGGCCACCTTTGTCAGCAGCAGCCATAAGCACAATACTCTCATCGGTCTTAAGAGCCCGTTATCTTTTTTCTTCGTCAATCGGTAGGACTTGGTGATGTTTCTTTTCTTAAAGGGCAGCCGTAGCACAGCTGCGTATCTTCGCAAACTTGTCCTTAGGCACAGCAGAGGTCAGTAGGATGGATTCACGGCCCGCGATAAACTTTGTGGGCATGGCATCAGTGTGTCTGAATTTTCAACATTACCAAAGCGATCGCCCGTCAATTCAATCGCTTTAACATTTTTATCGCCCACTAGTCAGCGTCGTCTATGCTCTTAACACTTTCTCGAGTGAAAGATGTCATGCAAAAAGAACAGCGAACTTATGAAATCTATATCATTCTGTGTGCTAACTGTTCTTGCAATTACGCTGGTGATACAGGTTGACGGCTTGAGACACGCATCCAAGAACACCAGTTAGCCATCTGCCGCCGTGACCCTCCGTCACTCACGTTCGCGCACGCCCTTGAGATTGACCACCACTGGTTGCCATGGCCAACACCAAGCTGGCGTGATACTTCCTCGCTGCGTGGCACTCCAACGCGACCAGCGTTAACCGTCACGTAGAGTTGGACACGCATTACGACGGGATGCACACGTGGTTCGCAGAATCACGCTCGAAACATAATATTCAGTACAAATATCTTATAAT